AAACTAGGCTCAAATATTCTTATATTTATCTGAAATTCATCGTCGTTATAACTACGTGCCAATAATCACCGCATGAACCTCTGTGTAATTTTGGAATGTTGCTCATCCACGTGGCAGAATCCCAGTGTACGTCCGCTGAACTCGACGAATGGCTGCCACTTGTATGATGAAAAGACAATGATGCTGAGTAATAAAATGCACAGATACAAAGAAGATGGCGGGTACGTACGCTAAGCGGTGCACGTTAGACGAGACCACCATACGAAATATTTCACAGGCTAAATATTTGATACTTTGGTCTTGCATTGTTGTCAAGTCATAATTGGATAAAAAAATTATTTGAAATTTAATTTTTAAATAAGATAATATCACGTGATAAAACATAAATTAAAATGCACATAATTCGTTAAAAGAAATAATTACCTCATTCCGATAATCGTTTTCCTCGGCTTCTCTGCCTTTCCGCTTCTGGTCCTCCGCCGGCGGTGGATTCTGATGCGGCGGAGGTGGCTCGGGGCTGGCGCTGACACTGGCACCGGAGCCACCAGGTGATGATATCAGTGTGAGATCACAGGTGCCTGTCTCCGATTCTCTAGCCGCTGTAGTACAGGCGGTCGCCGTACCCCTCAATATGTTCCGGCCGAAGTCCTGCGCTGTACTTTTCGCCGCCGCTTGGGAAACTCTGTACTTCGATCCAACCATCGGCGTCTCATTCGACTCCACCACCGTCGATTCCCTGACAGCTGCCTTGCTTGAACTTGATGGGCCTGAAATTGTCTCATTCCTCGCCCTCGACATCCTCGACAAATGCACGAAATTCTGTAAGGCAGAGGAGGCTCGCAGCTTTCGAGGCGGTGTTGGTATAGGCGGCCGAGTAGGCATAGGAGGAGGGCGGATCTCCGCCGCCGCCCGTGGTGGAGCAACTTTGGTAACAGGAGCTGGAGGAGGTGGTGGAGGAGTGGAATAGAGAAGATCCGCATACAAATCCCGATCAAAGGAGGAGTCATCGAGTGGGTACTGAAGCCACGATGTCATCTCATCCTCCTGTATAAACAAATTTTTCGCCGCCGCCGTTTGCTCCTCGCCACTCGATCGGATTTCCCTAACCTCCGTCGGAATCAAAGCCTCACCGCCACTGCCGCCGCCGAATTGAGCTTTCCTCGTAGATCGTTGGTTCTGACTCTGCACAACAACTGGACCGTTTTGCCACAGCAACTCCATAATCTCCTCTTCACCTCTACAAAACAAAACAAAAATTCTAAATTCTCTCAATCCAAAACTCATAAGCAAAAACTTTAAACAAAATTACAGATTTCAAAAGCTTACAGTGCAGACTTTCTAGGTCCGGATAACCCTGAAGAAGTTGGAATTGAATAGTCCTCCTCCCTCTCGAAATCTGGCACACGGTGATTCATTTCTCTTTCAGAACTTCGATTCAATTGTTCCAAAAGTAAACAGTTGAAACTTTAATCGAAAACTGGACATCAATCATTTTTCGTAGTTCATTGACTCTCTGTAGTAATAACAAAAACAAGTACGCATACTGATACAATTCTGTATTTTCTTCAGCTAGACAGCTACTTTTTTCAATACCTTTGAATGATTATACTGCTCCAAGTGGGGTAATTTTGTAGGAGGGTTCGTAATTGCCTGTGCAAAGTAGGTATTATACCTTCACTCTCTCTCGTTGTCGGTTGTGTTAAATGTCTTTTGCAGGGAAGATAAGGTTTCTCTCTCTACTGGCAGGGGAATAATACGAAGAGGAAAATTGACGAAATTAGCTAGTGGCGGTATGTACGGGCACAAATTTTCCCCTACGCTTACCCCACCCCCACACAATAATTTTCAATAATTTTGCCCATACCACTGCACCCTCCAGCTTGATTCTCATTTTTTTCAAAATTAAATTTTTCTCAAATTTATTTTAATTACTCATTCTCATAATAAAATATTCGTAAATTGAAAAACTTTTTTTACTTTTTAATCGTATATAAAATTCATTTTCATGAAATTTTGGGCATCAAACAGGAATTATACATATCTTTTGATTTAATTTTGAGTAAATTAGGTTTAGGCCCCTCAATGTTTCATGTGATGAGATTTGCAGCTTCACTTTTAAAATTGAATTTTGAATCCTCAATTCTCTGAATCTTTGATTTTGGGTTCTTATACAATAGATTTTGTCAATTCAGACGTTAAAATAACATGCAACTTTCAATGAGTAGGAAAAATATGTTAAGCTTATGTTTGTACTCCAAATTTTGGTTAAAAGTGAGTTTTGTAATAGTAATTTCTTAAGAATATAAGGATAAAAAGCAAGGAAAAAAATTTTACTCGTAAAATATTTTATTGAGAGAACATGTGGTTGAATATAAGTTTGAGAAAAAAATAAATTTTTAGATAATGAGTGTCAATAGGACCAAGTGTTTTGACAATTTTATCATTTGATTTGTGATTCATGTAAAGTTTTTCGTAGGTCTATATTGATAATTTTGATACGTTAGGGACGATGATTCACCAATGTGATAGAGACCTAAAATTTTAATTTTAAAGGTTAATGACTCGTAACTATATCATGTAAAAGATTAAGGAGCATATCTTAATTTGTAATTTGTAATTTTT